AAGGACAATGATTCGAGACCACTCTAGGTAATCCCCATAGCTTTAAATTAAACACTTTAAGCCATCTTGGATCAACTAAGACCCTATCAATTCTACTCCACTTTTCTCCATCTGCTGAATTGCACCAAGCAAACTTTCTGCCCAATAGTGGTAAATCAAACACCTCACATTTGTCTATAAACTCATTTAAATCCTTCATACCCCTATCTCTTCTAGAGCACCCATTCCTTTCACCAATACTCCTAATCTCATTAAAATCCCCAGCTATGCACCACGGCTTAGGGAACTCCTCTTTTAAGTTTACCAATCTACAACAAAATTCTCCCCTTGTACCCACTTCATTAGGTGCATAAATATTCAACAAAGTACACTTAATTGAATGGAAAAAAGTACCTAAGATAATGATAAACCTTCTGCTACTACAGCACTCTGACATTTGGAAGATATTTGGATCTCAGATGCATGCATAATAAGCCACCTGTTGGACCTTCAACATCCACAGCCATAAACTTTATTTTGTCCCTTGCCCACAATGTTCTGACTTCAACCTTTGAGTTGCTTGAGCTCCACAATCTTGGTCAGCACTTCATCTTCTTTCCCATTGTACTCCACTCCCAAAATTTCCCCCATCTTTAGAGTTGCTTGAGCTTCATTCAAAACATGCCTCCCTTTATCCCTCACATTTTCAATCGATGCTGATAGAGAAATTTATGCCACTGCTACTCTCCAAATTGCTGCCTTTGGAGCTGATATACTTGCTGAAGCCCCTTTTTGGCCATACCTCCTAACTAAGTCGAAGTAGCCCTTCTTTGCCCACTGTTGATTGTATTTCCTTCTATTACTTATCTTCATCTTTCCTTTCGTATTGCTTTCTGGTCTACTGCTGGGCTCTTCATCATAAGCTTCAGACAAACTTGAGTTCCTAATAACTGGCCCTACTGCCACATTCCTTATAGTTGTATTAGTAACCTATATTGTAGGCCCATTATGAACATGTTATAGCCCATGTTGTAGCCCATGTTCTTGTGTTGGTAATTGATTTTGGCGCAATACCACTTCAATATTCACACCAGGCTTAAATAGATTCGACCCACTATCGAGTCGTTTCTTTGGTTTTTCACCTTCATCATTATGTTACATTCCTCTCTATTGGCTTCTTTTCCTACACCACTTCTTGACTCTGCATCTTCATTCTCACTCCTCCAGCTCACCTCCTTCTCCATCTTCTCACTCCTACTCTGTCCACTTGGCCCATGATCTTGTGCCACATTAGACATATGTTCCAATTCAGGGTCTGACTCATCCTCCATGTCATCATCTTCTTCTTCTTCACTACTGCTCCCTTACATCTCTTGCATTTTTAGCGCATTGGAACTGCAGTTCTCTTCCATATCTTGATGTCTATTACACCCACACTTTCTTATCACTGTTTTTACCATTACCAGCTGCTCCTCATATACTTGCACTGGATGCAGTGAACCTCTATTTTCCAGATGAACAACCCTATTAATTGGCTCCATACATCTAGTGGGGATCTTCATCTTAGCACACACAAATGACTCTGGCTGGTTTGTATCACCATCGAAGCCTATAACTTGTCCCCACAATTCACCAATCCTTAGATTTGTGATGTTCCACAAATTTAGTGGGATACCATAACAACTAATCCAAACATTTCTCTCCTGCTCTAACACTACCCCTGATTTCCCTTCAATAATATCATCACACCAGTCTAAGATCAACTCCTTTATTGGCTTGAGTTTCAGTGCCATATCCTCCTTTGATTTGAATGTTATAACTACATCATGTCCTCCACTTTCTCTTACCATAATATCCTTAATACCTACTGATTGAAGCTCTTTTTTCAAGCTAATATTAGCATATTTAGCCTTCAAACGCACCACTACACTTTCATACAACCACCCATTTCCAATTTCCTTTGCCTTCAACGTAATGTTTTCACCACCACTCATTTGTCCTATTATAACCTTTGCATATGATCTTTGATCTATAAAGGGTTTTACTTCACTTCTTCCTACCCCACCTTCGACATTTTGACTCATAGTTTGGGTACATACTGAACCTTTTACAGCTTTATCATTTGCTTTTCCCTTACCAAAATTTGCATGTTTTACCTTTAAAGCTTTATCATCCATAGACCATTTGCTTTTTGAACTGCAATTGTAGCAGCCACAATGCAATCAAACCTCACAAAGCCAAATCTTGTATTTGTAACCCTTCTTCTCTTATGTGGAATCCAGACATTCTTTATCACCCCAAACTTTGTAAAAGGGTTGAAGAGGCTCTTTGGATTCACTAAGATTGGTAGGTTGTCCACAAACACAATGAAGGCATTTGTGCTTTCTTCCTTCTTCCATGTTCCTTGTTTTCCCCTTTGCCTCAGAATAGGTATCCATCCTCCTTGTTGGTCGCCTTGTGACCTTCATCTTCCTTGTTGGACGCAATGTGACCTCCATCTGCCTTTTTTTTGAAAATACTCTTTTGTATAAGAATTTGAATGTTAAACATTGAAAATATGAAAGAATTTCTTCTCCATTCATTTGTTTCGTGGCGCTGACAATTGAATCTATCTATATGTTTTTTAATTCTTTTATTTAAAATAAGTTCATTGTGTTCTTTTTTTATGAGCAAAAAGGCCACTTTATTAATGAAACATAAAACATGATACATTAATAAATGAGAACAGTGCAAAAACTATGAGAGAGAAAATAGTATCATCCTAACTAGATTGACACTGATCCGTTTATGAGCATTTTTTTTTTCTATCAACGATGCGTTTATGAGCATTGTGGTGTATGCTAGAAATAAGAAAATTGTTTTCAATGCTTTCACCTACGCCATGAAAACATGAATACATCTTACAAACTGCACCCAAGCAACCCGGCCAAACTTTGTGCACTCTCTGCTCTTATTTCTTGTTTTATGATTGAATTTGAGATTATATATACTTTGTTGTAACTTTTATTACTTAAATTCTTTGAGATATATGTGTTTGTGATATGTAGTATGAGAGATTAATAGAAAGAGTATGTGAGATTAAGTGTGAACACTCATTGTAACTTCTTTATTAAGATCTTAATGGTAGTGACTCTATGACATAGCCCTTTCCTAAATCTCATGGTACTATGTGTATTTTTTTGATCTACTTCTTCTCTGTTTCTCAATTCTCTATATGCATGATTGTTTGTTTGGGTCCTAAAAATTGTTATTGTCTATTCATAGCATAACAAGATGGTGGTAGTGGAGGTCTGGATGCGATATATAGTGAGTGCAGTGTCATTGATAAATTTTAGTCTGAAAAATGTTCTATTTTTTTTAAAGTATAAAATATTTTGTCTAATAAATTTGTTTGACTTCAAAAAAATATTTTCAATTGATTTTAATTTTTTATCATATTAAACTCTAAAAATTATAAAATAATATCTTTTCACTACAAGAAAATACATTTTTCGTGACCATTTTTGGCTACCAAAAACAATTTAGTCGCCAAAAGTTACGGAATTAGCTACCAAAAATAATATTAGTCAGCAAAAGTCAAGTTTTTAGCTACTAAATTTTTTTAGTAGGGGAATGTTGATTATTGGCAACTAAAAAAAATTGAGTAGCTAAAAATATTACAATTGGCGAATAAAAAAATTTTTAGTAGCTAAACATATCACAATTGGCGACTAAAAGAAATTTTAGTAGCCGTAGAGCTACTTTTGGCTACTAAATTGTTTAGTAGTCGAATGAAAATAAAAAAAATTATTTTTTATCTTTGGCGACCAAAATTTTGGTCGCCAAAAATATATTTTCAGCGACAAAATTCCATTTCAGTCGCTGTAGAGTTACTTTTGGCTACTAAATTGTTTAGTAGCCGAATGAAAATAAAAAATTATTTTTTATCTTTGGCGACCAAAATTTTGGTTGCCAAAAATATATTTTCAGCGACAAAATTCCTTTTTAGTCGCTGCAGAGCTACTTTTGGCTACTAAATTGTTTGGTAGCCGAATGAAAACAAATGATTACTTTTATCTTTGCCGACCAAATCATATTTTAGTCGCCAAAGATGATTAAACAAAATAGTTACTTTTATTTTATTTTATTTTAGTTTACTAAACAAAATAGTTATTTTATTTTATTTTATTTTTATTTTTATGAAGAGGTTGTCACATCTTGAATTTTTCGTATAGAGATTGTCAAATCTTAAATTTTTTTTTTTGTTTTTGCAGTATGAATAGATTAACAACAATGACATTTTATGTCTCCACTTAAAATTTGACTTTCTTTTTTTTTAATGAGAAAAATAAAATTGAAAGAAGCTTCTTTTTTAAAAATAAAAATAAAAATAAAAATGAAACATGCTTATTAATTAAATAAAAATGAATTCCCATTAGTAGTAGGTATATGAATAAAACATTGGTTTGAATCTCTACAGAAACTTTGTAACATTTACTTCTCTTTTCTTTTAAGATAATAAATTAATATTTTAAATTTTATTTTTGTATCACATGAACCATTGGGCAATATCTAAAAAAATCACCTATTTTTTCAAAAAAAAATTGTCCTTTAGTAATTTTATTTTAAAATTTTTTATTTTTTCAATTCATTTTATCGAGCCGAATCTAAGAAATATATATGTTTTAAAATTTTAAAAAAATTCAAAATTCAAAATAAGCAACAAATATTTACTATTTTTTTGTTAATTTTTATCTTTATTGATTTTTTAAAAAAAATTTAGAAAAAAATTATAATTTTTCGATTCGTTTTGTCAAATGAAAACAAAAAATAAAAAAATATGTTTTTTACCTTTGGCGACCAAAATTTTGGTAGCCAAAAGTTTGTTTTCAGCGACAAAATTGAATTTTAGTCGCCAAAGAAGTAAAATGTTTTGGAGGGAGACATTTCAAATATTTAGAGGGATTTATAAAATACCTTTAGCGACAAAAAGTTTTAGTCGCCAATAACCATTTCTATAAATTATCTCACGCTCTCACCAAACCAAACCCAACCCTGAACCATTAATGGCGCCTCTCTCTCTCTCTCTCTCTTCAGCGTCCTTCTCCCTCTCCGTCTCCCTCTCCCTCACCGCCGCTCCTCTCCCCTACACTCTCACCGCCGGTCCTCCTCGCGTTGGCCGGCAACCGGAGCACCGATTCACCTCCTTGTTGGTCACCGTCGCCTGAGATCCTCTCTCTCCCTCTCGGTTCTGTTTTTCTGTCTCTCTTTCTTTCACCATTCACTCACAAAAACCCATACAGCTTCACATACACGCACACACATGGGTTCTTCAAATAGTCAGAAGGTATGCTTTCTAATCCATTAATTTCTTCTCAGGTTTGTGTTTTTCTTCTGCTTCACATCTCTTCAGTTCTTTCTCTGATCATCTGTGTGTATGCGTTTGAGTATGGCTATTTGATTGTTAATTGCTGAAAGCAACTTGCCCTAATTGCTCATTTTTGCACAAATTGGCAGTGGAAAAAGAAGTGAAATAGAGAAATGAAGTTTTGGGATTGGTACCTGAAGATATCAGTCGTGTCGGCGATGATTGGAGGTTCAATGGAGTTTTTCATGGTCAAAACCGGCTTCTGTGTGAGAATCTCTCTCTCTCTAAACCCATCTTGTATATGATGGATATAGTGTGGAGTATAACTAGATTCTTCTATTAGTGTGGGTCCTGATGATTCTCACAGCCTCTTTATAGTTGTATTATTACATGCCTGTACTGTTTTGGGATTTACCCATTTTAATTTCAGCTAAATGTAGTTGAATACTCTTGATTTTGATCAAATTAGGTTGTTTTCATTATATTGCTATTCTGTATGCACATAAAATTTACATTAAGTAAATAGATTATAGTTCAATTTGTTGGATGGGTTTAGCCATGGTCTCAAATTAGCTTGTACAATGATATATGTTGTGTTTGGATTTTGAATTTGTGAAGGGAAAGGGAAAGGGCAATGTGAATGGAGTAAGTTAATTTTTTTAATTTTCACTTCTCATACATATCCTTCATGATTCTCTTGTCTTAATCTTGGAAGCAAATACATATCCTTTTTTTTTTTAATTATTTGAACCACTTAAGGGTTGTTTGTGTTTGGGATATTAAACTATGACTACTTTGAGACTCTTACCCATCTTTAAATAGGAACTTCTAGATTATAGATTTTGCGACCGCAAGATCTTCCTTCCTTCAAAAATGGCGCCTATTTTTAATAATTTAAAACCACCATTATATCAGTTTGCCCCAAACTGAAAAACAGAAAAAGAAGGATAATTAACATTATTTAGAAGTTGCTTTGCTTGGTCTAATTTGGTGGCACTGGGAATGAATCGAAGGATTTTGAAGGATTTCCAACTATTGTGGAGTTCTCATTAGTCATTATTACATATAATAGGCATTCTTTATTGCCAAAAGATAAGATACACAGCTTGTTAGTATAAACATAATGAGTACCAAAACAAACCAAATTTGCTTTTGTGAGGATGAATCAACATGTGTAAAGCTTGTAGATTATAGATCTTTATTCTAATTTTATACAACTATCTGTATCCTAATTTTTAAAATTTTGTGCCATGTCTGTAGTTGTGTCCGTCCTTCTCAGTTTATAATAGAAGTGAGATATATATGGTTTCAGTCATGGGAGCAAGAGTTGGTGTAAAATATTATAATGTGTGGCCATATTATGACAACTTGTCCTGTTTTCATGTTCATGCAACATAGGTTAACAAGCTTGAGGCAAGCTGATTTTGGTTCAATCTATAGTATCGGACTTTTAAGATATAAACCACTGGATTTAAGTGACAGATATTCTGATTTATCTGTTTCATCCACCTGGTTTTTGGCATAATAAGCATTCACATGGTTGAAAGTTGGAACGATAAAACTATTTTATCGAAGGTTGGAAAGTTGGAACGATATAAAGCCCATCTCTTCAACAATTTGGAGTGGTTTTGAAGAATTCAAAATTTCAGTTCCAATATTTAAACTTCATCCCTTGTGCAGTGGTTAAAAATATAGCGCAAAGAGAAAAAGGGGGAACAGAAACGTATACAAATGAATTATCATACTTGCATCTGGATTTAAAAGAGAATGCCATAAGAACAGTGAAGAGAAATGCGTATGTAAGGATAAAAGGAAAAAGCTATAAGTCATGTTAATAACCCTACAGCTGAAGTGATATAGGTCATTATCTCATCACGTGACACAAACTATGCAGGGGCAAAAAGAAAGTGACCAAGTTCATAGAAAAAGTAAAAGGCACTGGTTTCATTAGCATTACTTACTAATTTTTTTTTTTAACAAGAGCCAAGTTGACACAGTTGTGGCAACTTTATTCATTCCTAATTAGTTTTTGATAGTTTGAATATAGAAGTGGCATTCATTGCAGCTTTTCTTGTTGACAGAACGTCTCTTATCTTGGTCATGTGCCATGTTTAAAGGATGCATGGCATGAAAGCTCCATCAGATTGAAAGGGATTAATTTTCTTGATTGGTCAAAAGATGCTGCTACGTCTGCATGCTCATCTTGCAGGTGTTTTTTTAGTGGAGAAGGAAGCAGTAACAACTCTGGAAATTTAGGGAGGTCAGACTTGGAGACATCTAAAAGATTTTCATTTAGTGGCAGGGGATGGACCAACATCCTCCTTATGATTAACGTCTTGTGAGTATCACCTTTTTTCAAACAAGGACATCACAATGTCTCCTACACGTCTGTTTATTTATATTTTCCTTCTTATCGGGCTAATGTCCTATTTGCCAGCTTTCTAAGACTCTGTTTGGATCATGGATTTAGGTAACGATTTGTGAAGGGAAAAGAAAAGGGGCTGGAAATGTGAATGAAAATTAGTGTAGATTTCATTCACATTTCTCTCTCTATCTTTATTGGTGAAAGAGGCTTTTATCCTCTGATTTTTTTAAATTCTTTTTTATTTTTGGGTATAGGGTCTATATTGCACAAATTGCAACACAAGGGAAGCTGCTTGTATGGGGTGCTAAGGTTAGACTATCACTCTGAGGGAAGAAAAAAAATTGTATACCACCTTTCATATCAGAAAACTCATTTTTCCGGGTTTATCTCTAATTGTTTTATATTTAAAAAAAAATTTGCAGATTAATAGTCTTATTGACCAAGGACAATTGTGGAGGCTTGCCACGTCTTCCGCATTGCACTCAAATATTGGTCACCTCATGGTTTCTTTTGAATCACGATACTTGATATTCTCATGATCTGGTTGTTTTATAGATTGTTGGTTTAAATGAATTTCATGTTTTCAGATTAATTGTTTTTCTTTGAACTCTGTTGGTCCTACTGTGGAGACCATTAGTGGTCCTAGAAGATTTCTTGCAGTTTATATCACCTCTGCAATTGCAAGTAACGGCTCCTAATCCCACTATAACAGACAATGAATTGCTTATTTTCGAAGAAACAACCCCCAATCCACTATAATTCTGATTTGAGATTTTCAAGAAATCAGGTTCGGCAATGAGTTATTGGCTCTGCAAATCACCTTCTGTTGGTGCATCTGGAGCAGTTTTTGGATTAGTAAGTCTTTTCAAACTCTATAGTCACAAGTTCACTTAGACACATTTTCTTCACATATTAATCACATGTGTACAACCAAAGCAAATTTGATCAAATTAGAAAAGAAACTTACAAACTCACATATTTTCTTCAGATGTTTCAGTAGTTAATTATTAGTAGTTAACTCGAAACATTTGGTATTTTCTTGCAATGTTAATTGTATGCATCATTTCTATGCTTTGTTTGGTTGGAACGTAATCTTCATCCCCTACTTTCGTAGAATTTCTATGTTTTCATTGAGAAAGTAACGGTGAAATAAGCCGTAATCAGTTCTAGGATTGATTATGTGACATGAACATTTTCTATTATGGGTGTCTCAAAGTATATTACTTCTGGTCATCACCAAAGTATATTACTTCTGGTCATCACCAGGAGTCACAAAGTTGGATTGGAGCCCTTGAAATGCAATCATAGTTTAAAACTTTATTTTTAATATAAAAGGAGTCACATTTGGTATCATTTGTATACGGACAAAACATGTTTGGCAAACTGCTTCTGAAAATTATTTTTGAAAAAATAATAATTTGAAAGCAACTTTTTCAGGAAACACTTCCAAATTAATTTTGAATTTTTGAAACTTTTTTTGCATAAAAAATGAAAACGATAGGTATTTCATAACTTTTGCATTATTTTTGTCTATGAAAACAAGAAAAAACTAGAATTTTGAAAATGATACCAAAGAGGACCATTAACTCTGAATTGTTTCATCTTCCTTTTTCTCCTCACCTTTTATTTTATATTGGTCTGTGATCAGGTTGGATCTGTTTCCGTGTTTGTCTTGAGGCATAGAAGCCTAGTGGGAGGTGGCAAAGAAGATTTACAGCATATAGCACGTGTGATTGTTTTAAATATGGTATCTCCCTCACTTCTCTTTCACATTTAGTGCTTTGCTTGTTGGGAGTTGTGATTTTATTACGATTCTAATGAATCATACCCTGTTTATTCAAGTCTACCAAGTAGGTGTAATAATCTGTCATAATTTGGAAGTATTTTTGCATAAACTAGATTCATAATTAAGTTTTGTTTAATCTGAGCGTACAACATTTAACTCTTGATGTTGGAATAACGGCAATCGCCTATGTGCATGTTTCTTGTTGACATGATTTTAACTCACGGCATACGTCATGCAGGTTATTGGGCTTTTGTTCAAAGGCATTGATAACTGGGGACATGTAAGTATGAGAAAATTATTGTTATAATTTTTCTCTTACCTAATTACCTTTGGAATATCAATCAATTCTATTCAAATGACTAGATCAATTCAGGATAGAAGAGATTTTGGACCAGATCCACATCTTTGATATACAACTGTGATGACCTTGAATTGTAACACCAAAATCTGCGCAACTCATGCTTGTAGAATTGCAAAAATTGTGGTGACCCCAAAATCAAAATATTCCACAATATATATTCTCGTGTGTTTGCCCTAACCCAAGTCTTCCGCAATATATTGTTGTTTATAAGGTGTTTTTACTCACCCCATCCCCGATCGTAAATGTTTACTGTCCACGACAGAAATTATGGCAAGTAATTTAAACTAATTTTTATTGACTAAATTTGAAGTCATCAGCCCACATAACTAATTTTAAGCCATATGACACCACATGATCTACACAAACATCCACCAAGCTGTGAGACTTTCTTTTATAGTTGGTTGAATGTTTTATAGCTTTGTATATATAACAAATGTGAAATTCAAAGTTGCAGGGTCTTCTTTTATGGTGTGGGATTCATTAGAATGCATCATTTTGTTCAACAAGTATATATTGTTCTTCCGCATAACTAATATTTGAGATAACTTTTTTAAGAGTATATGTAAATTATATAAACTGGGGTTAAGATGTAGGCTAGGGGAGGCTCGTATCGTCCTTATACTGAAATCAATAAGGGATTCAACATTTGACAGCCCTATAGGAGCAAAAATTGGCATAGGGGGAAAAAAAAAAGTCCTATAATGGCAGACGGGTAAATTGTCATCCCTATTGTTCTTGGAAACATGAATGCACACCATTCTATCACTTCTTAAAAATCATTTTCCTTTTCCTTTCTTTATTAACTCCATCTTTGTTTAAAGCTCTCACTCATTTCCATTTTGCTTCATTTTTATCTGTTTGTGTTTTCTATTAATGCTCTGATTTATGAAATTTTGATTTTTTGGATTCAATGCACTCATTCATTATGAATTTGCCCAGCTAAAATGAATGGCTGACTGTGGGTTATGGATTGAATTTATCAAATTTATTCAATGTGTTGATGAGGAGATTGGGTTGTAAACAAATTGCAAAAACAATGGATTATGTGAATTTAATTCATAATTTGCAGATAATCTATTAGAGACTTAGATAGTGTTTGGTTCATTGGAATGAAATGATTATTCCATCAAAATATTCTTTCTTATGTTTGGTTAGACTTAAAAAAATTATGACAAATGCATTACAAATGGAATCATGGTTTACTAATTTTAAAGAATTGTCATTCTATAGGAAAGCCTATGGAATCACCATTCTATTCCCTCTGTAGTTAATTCTAAAATAGGTTTTCGGTTGTAACTAATATTACTTGTCCACAATATGTAATTGTATTATGTGAGTAATAAGAAAGACTAATATGTAATGATTACTATTTCAATTTGTTTTGCATGTAGGACAAGTTTCAAATTGGAGACGATTTCCACAATGACTTACAAGCACAGGAGATTGTGAATAAGAAGGCCTATGGGTTGTACAAAGATTGGAGGTACACCTTGAAGCAAGAGTTCGAATCTGTTAATGATACCCTTGTATTATGTTTGCATTCTAAATCTGTCTACACTATACTCTGTTTTCATTCGAAATCTGTCTCGCAAAAATCTAAACTATACTCTGTTTACACTATAAAACACTATAATACACAATCTGTCTACACTATATCAGTATATAAAAATCTGTCTACACTATAATACACAATCTGAACTATTACTGCACTAATAACTACAAATCTAAACTATACTCTTAAAAATCTGTCTAAACTATAATACAGATTGTGTATAGTTTTAGATTTATAAATCTGTCTACACTATCTACACTATAATACAGTAATACACAATCTGAACTAAATCTGTCTACACTATAAACACAATCTGAATATTATTACTGCCCAAAATCTAAACTATACTCTGTTTTTCACTTAAGATATTATTCTTGTAGCTCTTTTTGTTTAGATTAGTTAATACATTAAAAAAAACGATATTCCTGTACATACACATGTTATAATAATACATAATCTGAAGTGATTATAAGTGCTATGTGCGAAAATCTGTTGGAACATAATCTGTTGGAGAAATTCTGAACAATGTGTTAGCAAAATCTGTTTGAAAATATAAATCTGTTAATGATAATCTCTTTGAATTCGAACTAGAATAGTTGCCCCAGTCTTCCAATCTGGCTGCAAATTTGTCTGAAAATCTGGCAGCAAATCTGTCTAAAAATCTGTCCCAAATTGTCACAATCTGTTTAAAAATCTGTCATGGAAATTTGTCTATTTGGTGCAATAAAGTGACATGTAGGGACAAGACGGTACGTAAATAGCACGCTACGTTGGAATTAGAGTCGAAAATGTCTAAACTTAGTCGAAAAAAAGGGTTCGGGCGGGCGAAAATGCAAAGCATCCCCCGAAACACTGTTTTCTCTATACGGGAAGCTTCCGGTGATAATGTGACATGTAGGGAAGGACGTACGTAAATAGCACGCCTAGTTGGAATTAGAGTTGAAAATGTCAATAAACTTAGTCGAAAAAAAAGGGTTCGGGGGGCGAAATGCAAAACCAGCCCCGACACACTGTTTTTCCGTAATGGGAAGCTTCCCGATGATAACATGTGACATGTAGGTGTCCCAACATACGTAAGTAGGAGAGCAAGAACTAAATGTGATGAATGATATATCCTTGTTGACCTAAGTCTTTGGAATTGGAACAATGATTTGTAAAGTTCAGCTAGAGTTTAGGCGCAATTGTGTATTTGATAAGTTTAACTATCAAATGTACAAAGTACAACCCAAAATTCATTGGCTAATTTTATTGGAGATAATCCTCACAAATTTTCTTTCACATTTTAAGTACTAAAATTTACTTTCGCAATAGATTTAGAAGATAAAAAAGCTAAAAACAAGAACTCATGATGGGTTCATTGTTTGGATGTCTTGCATTAGTTAATAGATATCACTCTCCTTGTCTTTTTAATGTTTGAAATATATACGATATATATATGTCGTCCAGAAGTGCCATTGCACGCACGAACTAATGATTTTTCCCCTTTTTTGCAGATGTTTTGGACATACAAATGTGGATATGTTTTTGTTGACAAGTACGGAGGGCATTTTTTTTATATCTCTATCCGTATATATAGTGGTTTGTACAAAATTTTTTGTTGGTAGCAATTAACTAGCAGTGGTACATATATAGTTTTTGTGGCAGTACATAATATAATTTTGTTGTGGTACAAAAGTTGTAAGTGCACAATGAATTTGGTTATTCCAGTATTATGTATTGAATTAATTATTGACGTGGGCTTAGACTTGGTTCTTATGAAATTTGTAATATATATATATATATATATAAGTGGATGTTCAATATTAATTTTTGGAATGGTTGAACTGAAATGTGTGTAATTGCTGTTGAATGCTTCATAACATATTTACCGTTGATGGATACAGGTTGTATTAAATAATGGATACAGGTGACCAAATATTTTATTTAAAAGAAAAACGTTAACGTATTTGGCCACCAAATATTTTGGTAGCTAAATATGTAATCAAATATTTTTGTGACTAAGAATTTAGTAGCGAAAACATAACCTATTATTTTTTGTGACCAAATAATTAGTAGCTAAAACAATTGAGAAAGAGATAGAGAAAGTATTGGCTACTAAATTTTTTAGTCACGGAAAAAATATGGTATCATTTGGCGACTAAAATGTTTGGTGCAAAAAATGAAAAAGTGAATGTGAGCAGGCTTTGGCTACGAATCTTTTAGCGGGAAAAAGTAAACAATGACAAAAATTAATTAGTCACTAAAAATATGTATTCTATTGTGACAAAAATGTTGGTCTATAATAGTTATTCTTAAATTATGTAGCACTTTTAGTGACTAATACTTTAGTGGCAGAAACATACCTTTTGCCGACTAAACTCAAAGTAGTAGCCAAATGTGCACTTTCGGCGACCAATTATTTAGTAGCTAAAAGTGTACCTTCCCCGACCACAACAGGTTGGTAGCCAAAGCCAAAAATCCTAATTTCCGCGACCAATTATTTTAGGGCAGAATATATCTTTTGAAACGACAAACCCCAAGTAGTAGCCAATGTTAACTTTCGGCGACCATTATTTTAGTAGGAAGCATAACCTTGCCCGACTAAGAGCAATTTAGGTAGCCAAATGTCTTTGACACTTTCGGGCGACCAAACAAATTTAGTCGCCAATACTATCGCCGCAGGGTAAAGGCGACGAAAGCGTAGCGAGCGAAAATTTTTAGTCAACCGGAATGCACCTTTTGTCGACTAAACTACAGTCGTGCCAAATCGTCTTCAACTCAAGAAATGTCACTTTTGGCTACCAAAATATTGGTCGCCAAAAGTCACTTATTTAGTCGCCAAAATGATTTAGCGACCAAAATTTTTCGTCGCTAAGCTGTCGCCTTTACCCTGTCGGCGTAGTATTGGCGACTAAAATCTGTTTGGTCGCCGAAAGTGTACACATTTGGCTACTAAATTTGCTTTAGTCGGCAAAAGGTATGCTTCCCCTACTAAATAATTGGTCGCGAAAGTTAACATTTGGCTACTACTTGAGTTTAGTCGGCAAAAGATTATTTCTGCCACTAAATAATTGGTCGCGGAATTAGGATTTTTGGCTACCAACCTGTTGTGGTCGGGGAAGGTACACTTTTAGCTACTAAATAATTGGTCGCCGAAAGTGCACATTGTGGCTACTACTTTGAGTTTAGTCGGCAAAAGGTATGTTTCTGCCACTAAAGTATTAGTCACTAAAAGTGCTACCATAATTTAAGAATAACTATTATAGACCAAACATTTTTGTCACCAATAGAATACATATTTTTAGTGACTAATTAATTTTTGTCATTGTTACTTTTGCCCGCTAAAAGATTCGTAGCCAAAAGCCTGCTCACATTCACTTTTCATTTT